CCTCTTACTCTCCCAGATTAACCTCAGACTCCAGCCCAGAAGGAGTGTTTTCTGACTCTCCCTCACTTTGGAAGTCTTAAGGGTTTTTTTAGTGTAAGTTTTTTTTCCTCTAGCATTTTTTTCCTCTCACCAAGAAGCATCCAGCGCTGCATCTCTCCTCCAACGTGCTCAGCGCTGCTAGCGAAGGCCTTGCTGGCCTGCTAGCACGCGCGCGCTCCCCAAGCGGCCGGACAGTCGCGCAAGAGGGGAGGAAGCCTCCGCATCGATCGGAGTGCGTGGAGAGCCGCCCGATTAGGACTCCGGAGGATCGCAGATCCACAGGGGATCCCAAATACTAGGGGAAGAACTATTTATTTTGCTGTTTAATTATTAAATTTATATGCCCCCATCTTACTATCCAAAGCAACTAAAAATATTAGCCTCTAGCTGCAAAACAGAACAAAAACTCCCAATGCAATTGAAGCTTTCTTATTATTCCCGCAACGTTGAATTTCATCTCCGCAGCTTTAGTGCAGAAAACAGGCCAGTGTGTAGGATTCCTGTACCATGTGCTCTTGTAGAAGTTAGTAGCGTATATAAGGCTGGGTATCGTCATACAAACATTATTATTAACGCTCTGAAATTGCAGATGGTTGCTGAGACTGCCACACAGGCTTTTGCGGAACAGACGGAACAGCAAATTTCAGAGAAAGAACATCAGGAGGTGAAAGAGGCTCTAAGCCAAGCGGAGGTCAAAATAAAATCTTTAGAGGGGCAGATTGAAATTCTGCAGAAGGTAAGAGAACTTTCAAGGGGTAGTATCTGTGCGGCTCTGATTGTTATTTACTTAGCAAAACCGAAGTAGAGTTTGTCAGTCGAAAACTAAGTCACGTTGAAGCCTCTAAAGCAGAAGTGTCAAACTCATTGAAGGCTGCATCATTTCACCTCGGGAGGCGGGATGGACATGGGAAGGGTGGGTGTGGCCAGCTTGACATCACTCATGTCGGCACCAGTGGTGGCCCGAGCGTTCTGCCAGCGAAAACGGGCTCCCGAGCTCCGTTTTTTGCCACTGCCAGCAAAAACGGGAGCTCCAAGCTCCGTTTTCAATGACCGGCGGCTGCAGGAGGCCGTCACAGCTGAAAACAGAACTCAGGCTCCCCATTTTTGTTGGCAGAGGCACCGTGGGAGAGTCCTTCGCTGTTTCCAGTATGACCCCCATCTAAGCACCCTGCAGATGACATGCGGCCCACGGGCCTTGAGTTTGACACCTACTCTAAAGCTTAAGCTTTCACAAATAGTGGTTAGGAGAGTAAAATAGGAGATTTCCCTCTGGGCACCTGAAGTGCTTTAAGGAAATTATACGGTAGAAAAAAAAGGTTTAGAGAATCTATTCATAGGTATACCACGAGCCGAGGTGGCGCAGTGGTTAGGGTGCAGTACTGCAAGGCCACTTCAGCTGACTGTTATCTGCAGTTCAGC